GTATTTGCCAACAAAATTATTTCACATAATTTTTTCGTGTATTACATCTCCCTTGCTCCACAATTTTCCCCCCTAATTTGCCTTCTGAACATGGTGAAATAAACTGGTGGACAGTTATTTTTTTTCTTTTTGAGATGGAGTCTCGCTCTGTCACCCAGACAGGAGTGCAGTGGCATGATCCTGGCTCACTGTAACCTCCACCTCCCAGGTTCAAGTGATTCTCCTGCCTCAGCCTCGCAAGTAGCTGGGACTACAGGTGTGCACCACCATGCTTGGCTAATTTTTGTGTTTTTTAGTAGAGACGGGGTTTCACCATGCTGGCCAGGCTGGTCTCAAATTCTTGACCTCAAGTGATACACCGGCCTCGGCCTCCCAAAGTGCTGGGATTACAGGTGTGAGCCACCGTGCCCGGCCTGGTGGTACATGTTGAAAGAAGGAAAAGCAAGTGCTGAAAATCTGTATTTATGAAAAATTTATTGGGTTAGGCAACATCGACTGGAGCCTGGAGAATTTTCATCATTACGTGTCAAGAGTTGCTTTTGCTTTTCCTGTGAACAGTACCAGGAAGGAGAACACTGACAGTGCCATGTCCTATGTCCACAACATTGTGCTCCTTCATCCTTTGTTCCTGGGACACATTTGGGTAATAGGAAAGGGGTATACTGTGACGTCATGTTTTGAGAAAAACCAGGTGATCCTTACTGCTCTTAAAGTAACATCCCCCCGTCACTGCAAAGGAGTTTTCAGAATTTACATCTACTAACCTACAGAGTACACATGGCTTTATACTCTCTAGCTTAAAATTACACTAGGAAAGACTGTACAGAACATGTGCATAACCAATGTTTCCAATATTTTGAGCTGTCCTGAAAGAAAGAGATAACAATAACCAAAACTAGTATAGCAATTACTACGTGCTTGGCAATATTTTAAGAATTTTACATGGATTAGTGCCTTTAATTTTCACAGCTCCCTGAGTTATGGTCAACGAGTCCCATCTTAGGAAGAAAGGGAAGTACAGGGAGATGACAGAAGTTGCTCCACATTATATTATTGATAAGGGGTGGACAAGGATCTGCACATTGGTGGTCTGTTCCAAAGTCACTGCTCTATCCTGCTTACTGCTAGGGTAATGTAACCATAGAAAGGGCATAAGTAATATATTTACATTTTTCAAAATAAGTGTAGAGAGCAAAACCTAAAAAAATAGGAACTTAGAATTGTACTCTTTTATGTGATATCAGAAAAGCTGGTTACAATAATTTTACCCATTAAAAATATGTGAAGGCTAGTTTTAGAAACTAATTTTCTGGGCTCACATCTTATTCCAGAAGATCAATGACTGCATGGTACATTATACATAATTTAATTTTCCCAGTTGAACATCATGACACTATATGAACCATGAATGCACGAAATAGGAATTCCAAATGTTTTCCATATGGTAAGAGGACTTTTGGATACTTCTGCAGGAAGCTTAAGAGTAGCTCAAAATTAAGTTATGCCTGTTCTTAGTGACTTTTATTATGTATGCCTAAGATATTAGCACTTTTCTCTGAGTGGGACCCTGAGGTGATGGATAGATGACTCTGCTGTCTGTATTTAGGCACTTTGCTCATTTCCTGAGTGCTGTGGAAGGCATGTGGATGCTCATTAAGTTTCCGACCATTCCCCGAGAGCAACAGGTGGTGAATCAAAGCTTCCCTGGTATGTCGTGGCTGGTTTCCTCAAAGTCTTGGAAATAATGGGTGGTATTTGCATACTCTCTGTAGCACCAGCAGATAAGAAGGAGATGAATAGCAACAGGAAGTATTTCCAAAGCATAAACAAACACACAGGTCTAGGAAGATTATGAGTAACATTCTGGCAACTACACATTCTATATCCATACACGGTGGTTTCATCTTTTAAATACCGTTACTTGTTCAAACTATAAAATCATAGTTAACTGTCATGTTAACTGTGTCATGTGGCTACCTAATAGAATAAATGTAAATTAAAGGAAAAAAGAACATTCTAAGAAAACTATGACATAAAATTATAAGCCTTTATTTAATTCTACATTTATAAATATCTAATGAATACTAGTAGATGTGATGTACCTTTTTTTTTTTTTTTTTTTTTTTGAGATGGAATCTCACTCTGTTTCCCAGGCTGGAGTATATGGGCATGATCTTGGCTCAATGCAACTTCTACCTTCCGGGTTCAAGTGATTCTCCTACCTCAGCCTCCCAAGTAGCTGGGACTACAGGTGTCCGCCCCCATGCTTGGCTAATCTTTGTATTTTTTTTAAGTAGAAACGAGGTTTCACCATGTTGGCCAGGCTGGTTTCAAACTCCTGACCTCAGGTGAGCCACCCACCTTGGCCTCCCAAAGTGCTGGGATTATAGGCGTGAGCCACCACACCCAGCTGATGTATCTTTAAATTGTCTCCTTTTCAAAAGTACTGATTTACAGTGAGCACTGACTACATTATAAGCACTGACTACTCCCACATCCTGATTAGAGTAAGAAGACAAAGTTTAATAAACCAAAAACAGAACCTAAGATTTAAATCAAATACCAGATAGTTACCCAACAGTACTTGATAATTATGTAGAAAAGTATCTCAAGTGATTGATGAAAAGATTTTTTGCCAATTAATAGCTTCTTTCTACTATAGTCAGCAGTCAAGGAGAGGAAAATAAAAGAAAACATCAGAGCTACCTGACCTCGACAAACTACATCTGGGCCATTTCCTATGACCCTAGGAATAAAAGCATTTGCTAGAGGTGGCAAACCATTTAACATCCCTCCCAGCTAGAAAAAGCTCAAAACATTCTGACTAGTCCACAGATGACTAGGCAAATTCCGAGGGTCCAGTGGGATATTTTTTGTGGTGGAGGATATAAGACTGAAGTAAGATGATGATAATATAGTATAGAGTAATCAAAATTGCTTTTGTATAATCAGTATCAAAATTGCTTTTTTTTTTTTTTTTTTTTTTCTTTAGAGGGAAATAATCAATTCCCATTCTCAGGTACTCTTTCTCTCTAAGAAAGTGCTTCAAGCTCAGAAGAGACAACTGGATTTCAAAGCACACAGGCTCCTGTGAGAGGAGCTGGTACCCTGATAACCTACAAGCACTTGCTGCAGGAACTGCTTCAGCCCTTCCTAAAGCCTCTCCTTTAAATGCCTTCTCCTTTATTTATAATGCTACAAGGGTCTTTTTAATTAACACTAAATACCACTTTCTTATTTGTTTTAAAGTTGTTACTGATCTTCCCATTATTTGTAAAATGCCATCTTTTTTTATTTTTTTTAAGTGTGGCTGAACTAAGGAATGCCATAATTTAACTCTATAATATGAAACAACCTATTAATTTGTGAAGTTATTTTTGCTACATGTCAAATGATAAGGAAGTGACTTTAACTCTTTAGCAAACTGTTATCAAAGAAGTCAAAGACTAAAAATCTATTAAAAGGACATATCTGAACTTTTGTGATAATAATCTAGACACATCAAGCAAAAAGCCAGAACTAAAATTGCTGAATGCCAACCAAGAAGACATAGCTTTGATGGCTACTAATTACACCAAAATATTCATAAAATATTATATGTGATATCACATGACCTTTGAGAACTCAATAATTTCATGTCTATCCTAAAATCATATTATTTCACATAACTCACACTTGAAGCAGAACCTTCATAAAACAGTATACACAACTCTCACACTAAAAGTAGGAATGCTAACCTTCTTCTTCTTTTTTTTGAGACACAATCTTGCTCTGTTGCCCAGGCTGGAGAGCAGGGGCATGATCTCAGCTCACTGCAACCTCTGCCTCCTGGGTTCAAGAGATCCTCCTGCCTCAGCCTCCTGAGTAGCTGAGATCACAACTGGCTAATATTTTTGTATTTTTTGTAAAGACAGGGTTTCTCTGAACATTTTTATAACTATAAAAACATTATATATTTTTATAACTATAAAAACATAGTTATAAAAACATATTTTTGTAACTATAAAAATAAAAATAAAATAAAATAAAAAGACAGGGTTTCACCATGTTAGCCAGGCTGGTTTTGAACTCCTGACCTCAAGTGATCTGCCCACCTCGGCCTCCCAAAGTGCTGGAATTATGGGTGTGAGCCACTGTGCCTGGCCTAGGAATGCTAACTTTAGAATGGACTAATGTACAACAGAAATTGATTCAAAACTTTGGAAGATGAGAACAACAAAAGGAAAATGTATTTGCATTATATTAACCCCTATTAAGTATTTCTAGAATATAAAAAAGCTTTTTAAAATAAGAAGCTGATTTTAGAGGAGCAACTCTGGCTAAGGCAGTAGAACTTTAAGCCTTGTTGGTTGCCATGTGAAAATTTTTAAACAATTTTTTTAAGTGCTTTGAACATTTTTAAGTGATTTACACCAATTTAAAACAAATGTTTCCAAACTAAGCTTTAAGCAATTATTTCAAAAGATACTTAAAAAGTTTATGGAGACAGTGTATGTGTTGGGTCAAAATATTTTAGTGATATGATTTGTACTTTGAAGGGATAATTATTGAGAGGAAGTAGAAGATAAATGTTTTAGAGGGATTATATTAATGAGTGAATCACAAAAACAGCTGCCTAACTGTTAGATTTATGGGGTTGTTAAGATTCTAATTCTGGACAAAATCTGATAGGGTCTTAAGAATAAAATTAAAATGTGAAGGTAAAGAGACATTTTAGACTTTAAAGAATTTCTGTGACTTCAAATGAAGTGACATTTACCTTTATTTAAGGGGCAGTGGTAAGTTAAATGGAGAAACAAACAATCCATACAGCCATCACAAACTTTAGAGGTATCTGTGCTTAATTTTTAACTTAAAAATTCAGTTAGTTGAGATGGCTGGAGAGTACCTAGAGAACAGCATTATATTTTTAGCTTCCATTTTTTCCCTATTTTCCTCCAATTTGGGTGAATCTCATAATTACAATTCTATGAAGCCAAGACTGTCCGTGCAGTATTTACCTTTATCCCCGGAAGTCCAGGAAGCCCAGGAAGCCCTGGTTCACCCTACATAGGAAAATCATACAGCATTATAGAATGATATTCATTCAGTCACAATATCTGGAGAAAAACATGGCAAATTTGTTCCTAGCTCAATACTTTCTACAAGGATAAATATAAAAACTGTCTACTTTCAGAAAGTTTGGTGAGATTCTACAATTCAGTCAACTCTTGATTTAGAAATGGGTTGACCACTTCACAGACTTTTCAAGATTTTCTCTCTTCCTCTCAGTTCACTGCACATTGGTATCTCTGTCAGATGGTGAGTAAAAGAAGGAGAAACTCCCATATTTTATTATTTCTTTATTAAATGATTTGTTGGGGAGGCTGAATCTATTTGCCCAAATGAGGATAATGTGTGCATTTCAACAATGCATCCTAGCCCAGTATTCTCTCACCTTAGAGAATCAAGAGTTGGCTGTATGAACAGATGGTCACATCAAAACAATATTCATTAAAAGTCTTTCTCACTTAAAGAGCATAGTAAGCTTTCCTTTTCATTCCTGAATTATGAAAAGATAAATGAATACTTAAGATTAAACCTAACTCCAGTCTGTATTCTGACAATTGTTGAGTCTGAGCAACCCTGCTTAGCAGCTTAGGGCTAATGGTACCATGCAGCTGTTGCTGCATACAGGTTTGAGATTAAGTAGTACATTTTGGGTGAGCATATCGGAGTCAAGCTTAACCTTCTCATTTTCACAGAGTTGTCTACATTATTTTAAGCCCAAAGTATGACAACAAGAGGTTCCATTGCTTAGAAAATCTCCTGAATTCTACTAAAGAAGTATAAAGGAATCTCAGGAGAAAATGAAAGTCTTTTCTGTTGGACAGAACTGACTATTTTTTGTGGAAATAACATTTGAAGGCAAAAGGATGATACTATTTCATGATGACCAGTTAGTGGGACAACAATTGTATTAAAAGATAAGGAGCATTAAACTAACAGTGAAGTGACAAAAGAAAGCATTTCCTTTCATCTAAATGCCTTAACAATCCTCATTTTAAGGAATATCTACCAAGTCCAACCAGAAGTTTCATCTTTAGTATTATTACTTTCAAATTATGAAGCACCATAGTTTGTTCGGGTATGATCACAAAGTGATGTCTGATACTGCTTGTTAAGCTGTGTGATTAGACCAAAAAAGGATAATGGATTTCTTGATGTTTTAGGTCAAAGTTACTTCAGGAATGTAAAAGAAAAATGATTCTGTCTGAAACTGTATAAATCAAAGTTTGCATTGTGAACAATAAGACTAAAATGAGATTAAGCTAGAGGAGAAAGGCTGATTATCAAGAACTTGTTTGTTATTCTGTTCAAAGAATGCTTAAGTAGATTAAACTTCACACAGATAAAACCTTACGTATTTGATCTTCTTTTACTTTCTTTTTTACTTTTCAATCAGTGAGTTTAAGAGGATCCAGCAAAAAGAGCTTGTGTACATTTTTTGCTTAAAATTCTCTTTTATGTTATGGCCCTTGAAAACAGTAAATTTCAATAGAATATACAACTAATAAGAACAAACATACTGATGGCAAATCTATGCTTTGTATTGCTTCAGAAAAGTACCCCGCACTCATTTTTGCAGACATCCTATCTGAAACATTTGTGAAAATATATAGGTTGTTACATTATTGTCCAACAGGTGTTTTCATCACATCTTTCCCTCCCACCAAATGAAAGGACTGGATGACTACTTTAAAAAAAGATATTTATCTTTTCACATGTACCCCAAAACCTAAAATGCAATAAAAAAATAAAATAAAAAAGATATTTATTTAAACATGCACAGACACATAAACACACATCCATTTTTCTAATCAAGAAAAAGATGTGTAAGACATTACAGAATATTTTATAATGTAGATTGACTACTTACAGATATTGAGCATTTAACGTTTCTCTACATCATATGTGTACTATGTATATGTGTTAGGTAATAAGCGTATTTTTTAGTGAACAGATACTTTATAAATTCTTATTTCTTATAGTTTTTATATTTCATAATTTGACCTTTCCAAATGTATGTTTATTAGTTGACATGATGAAAGATTATAATACATGTAATGTTACCCTTTGTGGAACATCACTTAACATTTTTAGGAAGACATTTGTTCCCATATAAATTCTCTGTCTTTATGCCATAAAAGGTTATCTTCTAACTAGGATAAGTGTGTCCAACCCAAAGCCCACGGGCCACATGCAGCCCAGGATGGCTTTGAATATGGCCCAACACAAATTCATAAACTTCCTTAAAGAGTTATGAGTTTTTTTTTTTTTTTTTTTTTTTTTTTTTTTTTTTTTTGCTCATCAGCTATTGCTAGTGCTAATGTATTTTATGTTTGGCCATAGACAATTCTTCTTCCAAAGTGGTCCAGGTAAGACAAAGGATTGGACACTCCTGAACTAGGCAATAGCTTTTCAGTAACTTACCATTCTCGCCTATTCCTTGGCTCAGGAGCTTCTCTCAAGAACTCAATTTGGGGATGCACAGCCCAAAATTTGAGATCAGATCTCAGTCAGAATTAGGATTTGGTTCATTATTCCATTCAAAGGTGATATCAACATATATCAAAAGTGTGACTTACGTGTGTCAAGTTTAACCTTCAGGTTTACACTTCTGCTTTTTTTTTTTTCTTTCCTTTCACCTTTCACTCCCCATTACAGGAGACCCTCAAAATCAGGACTCTGCTTTCACCTCATGTCCCTACTAGAGTGCCCTATAGTTTTAGAGAGTTCAACTCTGAAGGGCCCTTCTGATAGGAGATCAAGTAATTTTACTCGTTTAAAATTAAAATATTGACTTGGAAAAGATGTGGGAAAGTTATGAAAGAAAGAATTAGGCGATGAAACACAATACCTATTTTATAAATCTACACACTCACTCTACAAGCACATATATACACTCCAACTCACATATCAATCACATACTAAACTCCTGAGGCCATAAAAGAAAGAAAATTCAATGGAATTATTCCTACATTATGAATGTAACTCTAGATATCAAACCCTTATCCTGTAAAAGACCACACAGTGGGAAGTTAATTGATGAGCTTTTTGCTGTGTCACAATATTCTGTACTTTTCTGGGAGTGTCTCTGACACAGGACCCTCAGTGCCAATGAACCCTGAGCATAGTTCTGCAATGGAGAGGAAAATGCTGTGGAAGATCTATTGAAGCGATTCTGTACTCAGTGCAGTTTATTTCTCTAATATCCATCAGCAGCAAGCATGGGCATACTTTACTTTTAAATCAATGTTGGGCTTAATATTGCCAATTCCCAATATTAGACAAAGGAAGTCATCATAATGTGAGAATATGAGATCATATCAAAGGGTATAATCTGGCCTAAATATTAATGAAAAAGATGATGCTCATTTTAGGACACATATTCATTCAGGAAGACTGTAAGCTTTTAAGGATTCTACCCCTTCTCTCAATATAGTTTTAAACTGGTTTTTAATGTAATGCAAAGGAAATCCAGTGTTCCCATGTGTAAATCTATAAACTTCCAGAATGAATCTAAACTGTATTTCTAAGTAATCATTATGATAAGGCAATGTTTTATTAAGCAATTGAAAATCTATTTGAATATTCCACTCTGAAAACAGTGAAAACTATATAAGATTATAGCAGATTTGTTTTGGTTTTTTTTTTAGAGACACAACAGTCTTGCAGACTTTTTAGCAAATCATGGATTTGGAGAGCAGTAAAAACTTAGCCTTTAAATTTGAAAGACTAAGGGAACTAAAATTAGATTGTCTGAGAAGATCAGTTGCTTTTTCAAACCAAAGCAGACCATGGATCTTTATTTAAGAAATTTGGAATTAGTGATTTAAAGAATTGATAAGAAATCTTAGAAAATAAATAGTAAAATTTGCAGAGTTCTGCTAGGCTCTTTGAAAGTCTCAACTTTACCTCAAACTGGGCCTAATGAGTCATTGCTCAGACTCAGTTTTAAGAGAAAAATCTGTTTTTAAATTAGAGAAATGTTAAAAAAAAAAAAAAAAAGTGAAAGAGCTTCTCAAAAATTATGTCTATCCTAAGTGTTTAAAACAAAGCCATTATCCTCTCAATGACTTCACAAAAGTGGGAACATTGTTTTACTATGTCTTAAGGTTCCAAAATACAAGAAGGGATTTATTCTCTTTTCCCTTTCCTGCCAATGAAGTAAATTTATTTTTCTGTTCATATGTTTATCTACAACATCAGCTACTGCTAGACAAAGGCAGAGTCATGATCTTAAGAGGTTTAACCTAGTGTGGAATTCACATTTACTAGCCAGCTACATCTGTGGTCTAAAATCTGACTGTATGGGCATTGATATCCAAATGCTCAGACAATAAACTGCTAGCATGTGTTTCCTGTTTCAGGCTCAAATGAGAGTATGAATCGAAACATATTCACTGCATGTCCTCTAATTTTTTGCTAAAGTGACGTACAAATGAAAAAAAACAAAAACTAATGTATCCAGAAAATGGTATGGCTAGTGTCTCTAATTAAAATTTAGTTCATTAACAAATTTAGTGTGTTTAACAATACCATAGCACAAGTAGATATAAATCACATACAAAATTGTCAGCATGAAAGCATTTGCAATGATAGGAAAAGGAATATAGTTCATAAAGAATTGCCCATCACTATTGAGACAGTTTACTGACAGAAACATCAAAGCAACATAGCCAGTTATAGAAAGATTTTTTCTATTAAAAAAATTATTTTAAAAAGATAGAAACATGCATATTACCATGAAGCATGCAAAGAAAAATTGTTGGCATTCCATTCACCTGATCTTTGTTAGTTTCAAACAGCTAAATGTGTGTAGACTTCATTTCACAAAGCATCCTTTTACATGTATAAAGTTTGTTTGCACATCGTGCTATGGTCATCATCAAGACTTTTTAAAATGCAAAATAACCAATAACCCTCTGTAATGCAAAACATGAAAACCGCATCGTTTTGTAATAATTGTTTTCATATTACACAGTGGATGGTAGATATAAAATGGTGAACGTGAGACAGTAAGATCACACTAGAGACAGAGATATTACCTTTTGCCCTGGACGACCAGATTCTCCAGGTTCTCCCTGATCGAAGAAAACCAAAGATGAAAAAGGAAGTCTTCCAAGAATTTTCTAAAACCCTGAGGCCTCTGGCCACCATCACAGGGATGGGCTAGCCCCCTTCTTCACCACATGTCTTTTATTTCCTTTATCCTGTGACTCTACATCTCATAAGACATAGGGATTTTTGTTTTTGTTTTTGTTTTTGCTATAAATATACCTATAGATCACATATAAACCCACATTTCCATAAAAACCAATCAGAAAGGGAAGAGGGTGCAAGACTTCTTATTTAAACCTTCATCAAGTTTCCCACAGATATTCCCTGTTGTTTTTGGAAGCCCAGTTATTGCAGGAGAATAGAAACAAAGTTATAATCATGGAAGTTGCTAAAAAAGGGAGAGAAAGTAGAGGCCTATAAAAATCAGTACTGTAACTCCTGGAATACAAATACTTGCAAGGTTATACTTACCTTAATTCCTGCAGCAGATGATCCAGGGTCACCCTAAAATAAAACACAGGAGAGATTATGCCACAAGTTATGGGAACAGGAAATATCACAAGCACCCAGAGAGCCATTACCGACACAGGTACTCAAAGGGACCTCATGACTAATGGACCAAACTATGCTCCATAACACTTTGTACCAATATCTCAGCTGTTAAGATGTCAACAATTTACAGGATAAACAATGCACAAAGTAAAAACATGGGTTTACTTTGAATACAGATACATAAGGACTACATTCCCTGAAATAAACATAAATACGAATTTCTTCTTTTGATACAGTGCTAAAAATACATTATGAAGCAATAAATTATAATTTAGGGATATGGAACTTTTGGCTTTCTCTATTCCTGGAATGTATTACTGCCATTAGCTATCATTTACTGGGAGTTCCCTGACCCTTTTGCTATTCAGTGAGTCAAGGTTCAACAGATGAAGTCAGAGGTTAATGATGTCGAGTTAGAAAAAGCCACGCAACAGATCAGTTTGTTTTCCTCGTGAAGCACCATCACAGTTACAACAGGCACGTTTTTTCCAGCTTTACACTTATTTCATTGTAACTCAGTCACCAGGAAGTTACAGGATGATGGATGACTTGTGGGTGAGGGGGACACATGTGAGCTCTGAGAGAAAGTCTTGAGTCAGAATCTGTTATTTTAAAAGGCACTGTATTCCAGCCAGATTTCATAGAGGGTGACTACTTCTCTAAAGGAAACGTGTTATAAATAAGCAGATAGGAACTAATGGAGAAAAGAAAAAGGGGGGTAGCTGGGAATGTTGCTTATTTCTGAAATGAGGCCAGCAAAGGGCCTAGAATTTCAAGTTCCTTCTAGCCCTCTCCGTCTCATGCATATGCCAGAAGGAAAAAGAAAGGTCATTTGAGACTGTCAAGGAAATAAAAACAGCCACAGGAGGGAGGCACATATTGGGATTTCCTCAGCTGTCTCATCTGTACAAATGCTCAAGGAGCTCCGGGGGCCCATTTCCTTGTTCTAGATTCCAGAAGCTGCTCATCAATCTCTTTTAGAGACAGACATAAGGACTCAGGCCTCTGTATATGGGCCACTTGCCCCGCTCCCTCAATTTCTCTCCCCTCTGCCCAGGGCTGGCACTTTCTCCCTTCAGATGTTGCCTAAGCAGCTTTGCCTCAAAGAGCCCTTCACCAACCAGCCTAGACACCTCGGACACGTGCCCCTCATGCACACATCTTAACTCCGTAGCATCATGCTCTGTTCATGTCCACCGCAGCCCGCTTTGTAATTGCCTATTTATGTTTCCTGCCTATTCACTGTGTGTCTCTTCGTTATATAGTCAGCTGCATGTGAGCAGATTCTGGATCTATTTTTATTCAGTGCCCTGGCCCATAGTATATGCTCAATATATGTATGGTGAATGAATGACCAAATCTCAAAAAATGTTTAAACAGGTCAATTTTCAAGGATCAAAATGTAAAATTCTTTAGGAAGGGAAAAAATAGCTTAGAAAAAAGAAAGAAATAGTAAATTAGCTTGTTAAAGAAATAGTTATGTGAGTTTCTTGACATCATAATTGCTATTCCTACTGTTGAAAATTAAAATGTAACTAAACAGAAAGAGGACCCTAATACTGTCTTACTGTGGAATGAGACTGATTTATCTTGCCGATCATTAATATCCCATTGAGTTTCAAATGGGAAGCAACATAAATGTGGCCAATAAGAATACTTACTTCTATTTCTACTAAATTAAGTCTGAAAGTCATCAGTACCAATGAATCAGGTTTACAATATTTTATACAATAAATAACATCTTTGAATTCATAAAAGCAATCTTGACTTTGCAAAGTTCCTACTTTATCTCATTTAAACCTCATTAAATTCTCATGAAATAAAGGGGGCAGATATTACTATTTCCGTTTAATAAACAAGGATATAAAAGCAGCTAGAGGTTAAATGAATTTGGGGCTTCCTAAGTTCTACTGCCATGTTATTTTTTCTTTCTTCTTTTCTAAATAGAAAAGAATTGTTGGCTTATTTCATTTCAACAACAGGACATAAAGGTTGTCGTAAACTTGTAAATGCAAGGAAGTTGCTTGTATTAATTGTAGTTTAATTCAGTATCTTAATGGAAAGCATCCAGATAATCTCTAATGTGAGTGAAGACTAGATTTAGTTCTCATAAAAAGTGAATGGAAAGAAAAAAACAGTTTCTTGAAAGGCCAATATATTTGTGGAAATCTGAGCCATTTCATTTGATGGACAACTATGAGTGATTTTATTTTTCTTTTTTAAAGACTTAGAACTGTGAAATCGCAAGGAATTTTTATAACTTTTCAGTGGTAACATGACTTCTGGAAGATAATCATAAGTTAAACATTTTAAGGGATAATGCTACAAGCAGTGGAAATAAAACAGTGTGTGTTTATAATCCTCCTTCCCTCAAAAGTGAAAATTAATACTGGATTACAATTGGGGGAAAAACCCCAGCTATGTCTTAAGTATACTCAGCTTCATCAGTCATTTGGCTTGGAAATAAAAATTTCTACAGGGTAAGTTATAGTTATAGATGAGGAAATACTATGAGAAGACACTTGAGGTAAATGAATTTGACTTTACTATTTTTCATTCATGCACAGTTTCCATTTTTGTGATTATTTTCAAAACAACAGTCAGTAGATAATTATATGTATGTGTTAATAAGGCACATGTGGATATATGAAGTGAGTGTAGGGACTTATTTTTATCATTCATTAATTCATTCAACAAATATTTATTGAGCACTAATTATGTGCCAGACATATCTATTAATAGATGCTGAGAGCTGGGAGATAACAATGAACAATGCAGTTACAATCACAGCCCTTGTCCTGCATTAAAATGATTATTTTCCAATATATGTAGTGCAAAAATATTATGGATGGAAAGCATGAAAGATCATAAATTTCAATCAATAATTTATTTTTGATGGAAAGCATGAAAGATAATTTTTCTTTCTTTCCATTTTTTTTTTTTTTTTTTTTTTCTGGAAATCTGGTGTGGGTAGAGATTGCCATGTTTGGAAAATTCTGTGTCACTATGTATGCACAGAAGACACGATAAGCAAATGCATGGCTATCAAAGGAATTATAAGGAGGGTGGTGGGAGCATATAGCAGGTGACCTACCCAGTCTAGAGGAGACTGAAGGCTCCTCTAGGGAAATGATTTCTAAATTAAGTTTACAGTCGACTGAAGAATGAATAAGATTAGAAAGTGGAAAAGTGGCGCTAAGGAGTCAGGGGAAGGAGGACAGACAGCAACAGTGTTCTAAATTACGAGACTGACATGTGCTAATTAGAGAAAGCTCAGCACTGATTGGGGTGGGAGTGCCCACTGGGATAGGCTGTCGTGTGTGAGTTTATAAAAAGAAGACAGTTTGGTTGGCTCCAAATATGATGTGCCTTCTGAAAAGGCTCAGAGGATGCAAGTCAGAGATGCATTTTCATACTTCATGTTTCATGCATGCATCTTTGCTATATAGATGTAAAGTATGAAGATGAAGATAGCGTGAATACACACAAGAATGGAAATGGGGAAGAGGGGGGCAAAAAAATAAAAAACAAAAAAAACAAAAAAAAACAACAAATCATGCTAAGAAAGTGAAAGCAGAGTTTTTGAATCAACAGACAGAATTGTGAAGAGTAGAGTGACGTGGCCAAACCATTCAGTATTTCACACAGGTGAAAACAGGTAAGAAATCAATTTCTACATTTGTTGGTGGGATTAACACTCCAAAGAGTGGGGCATACCCTTCGATAATAACTCTACACATGACTGAGTTCTGTCTTTGGCAGCTTTATGCTCTTAAACCTGGGGTGTACCACGGTGGTTGGCCAGAATGTGCTGAAGCTGCTGGCCAGAGAAAACCCAGCCTAGTGGTTTTTATAGTTCCACAGTATTTCCAGATGACCAGTCTGGAAAGGTTTAGATTACTTTACCATCCAAAGGCGCTGAGGTGAATCAAAAGGAAAAAAAAAAATCCTATAAAGTCAATCAATGACGTAATTTACTATACCAATGGCAGAAAAGAAGCATTTTTAAAAAAATGTTTTACATCTCAAACTCGGTAAATGATGAATGAGTTTCACATACTGAACACAAAAGCCATGAGAATAGTGTTTCCAACATGCTGGAAACAAATTATATGACAGAAGCAGGAAATGTTTAAAAAACACATCAAAAATTATATTCCAATTACAGCATTTTTGGGATAAATGCTACAGGTCGGATTACATATTATACACATTACAGATTCCTATTTACAATCCCCTGTTTAGACCCATTAAAGGTTTATAGAAATGATTTCCGTTTTAACTGAAGCATTTCTTATACTTAATTTCAGCTGACTAATAAAATTTTTTGATGAAAAAAGAAAAACAATCTAGTTGATTTCAATTTCCATGTGGGAAGAGAAGCTAATATTTATTGAGAGTTTATTATGTGTGAGTCAGTATGGTAAATGATTTGCATTAATATATAAAATAAGAACAGTATTCCTTTGAGATGACCTTGGTCTTTTCACAGAAAAAAGCTGTTTTACCATTGTAAAATTAAATTTCAAAATATTTAACTTTACAAGGTGATTAAAGAAACAATTATTGGCCTACATTCCAAAAATGAAGCTTTAAAAAGACACATTTTAAGCATAAAATTCTCTACACAAAGCCACATAGGCATAGTTCAGATGTAGTATAAATTTTTTTCACTTGAAAAAAATTGCCCTCTGTGTAGAATATTTCCCTTCTTTTAAGTGGAACGAAAGGAAATATTCTACACAGAGGGCAAATAGTTGGTTAACTATGGCCAAATGCAGTTGGCCACCTGTAAGACCCAAGAGCCAAAAATGGTTTTTAAAAATCAAAATAACAATAATATTTCATGACACATGAAAATTACATGAAATTAAAATTTCAGTGTCCAGAAATAAAGTTTTATTGGAACACGGCCTACTCACTTGTTTATGTATTGTCTATGGTTGCTTTCACGCCACAACAACAGAGTTGAGTAGCTGTGACAGAGACCACATGGCCCACACAGTCTAAAATATTTATGTTCTGGCATTTTACTGACTTCTGCTTTTAAGCAAAAACAAGCAAGTTAGATATAACACCCAGGTTTATGTTCTTAGGGTTTCAAATTTTGTCTCTGAGAGTAATCAGGGTATATCATTGGTCTCATTTGTATTAAACAGATTCATGCCATATTTGATTGCAGAATGACACTTAAATTTGGCAGATAAATAAAATGGGACTACAGCAGTGAATCTCACCTGTGGGTGGCTTTGTCCCCCCAGGTAACATTTGACAATGTCTGAAGACACGTTTGATTGTCACAACTTGGAGGTGCTTTAGGCGTCTTGTGGGTAGAGGCCAGAAATGATGCTACACATCTGACAGTCCCATAACAGAATTATCTGGCCCCAAATGTCAATAGTGCTGAGGCTGACAAACACAGATCTATAAGAAACTGAGAGTTCACTCTAATTTCTAGACTCCTTAAATATAAATACAACTGCTACTTGACCCATTCAGTCCTATCACACGTGCCATATTTATATTAATATTTATGAGAAGAAGAAAGATAAATTTCTTTTTATTTTGTGGCTATGGTTTTTATGACTAACCATTATCCATCTGTACTTTAATCATTTTCAAAGTGGAATAGTCTTAGTCTCAAGTGTAAGCCTAAATAAATAATTCTTCATCATTCAATTACTTAGCTTGATTTAAATTAAAGCCCATCTGACTTTATTCTATTTTCAATTTCTTAAAAGATCTACTTAATCCTTAACACATAGCACAAGCAAAGTAAAACATCCTTCCTATGTCAGAGATATCTATCAAGTATGAATCCAAGCAAAAGCTATGACAGACTGAGGAAAAGTAAGAGGATAGGTGGCAGAAGATAAGACACAAGACTACTGTGGTATAAAAGCTAATAATGGTTTAAAAGACCCTCTGCCCCAGGATAGAATACAAAGCCTGACAAAATATCCAGATTTAGTGGAATTTGAATTTAGGTAAATTTTCAAGACTATATTAGAGGGTCTAATCAAGTGACATTAACTTATAATCAAACTTTTCTCTTCCTGTTCTTTTTAAAATTATTATTTCAATAGTTTTTTGGGGAACAGGTGGTGTTTGGTTACATGGGTAAATTCTTTAGTGGTGATTTCTGAGATTTTGGTGCACCCGCCACCCAAGCAGTGTACACTGTACTCAATGTGTAGTCTTTTATCCTCACTCCCTCCCACCCTTTCCCCAAGTTTCCACAGTCCATTATATTATTCTTATGGCTATAATCAAACCTTCAAATCTCATTCTAATCCTTTGACATGTTCTCTCGTAAAACTGGTACAAGCTGATTCACTTTAGGATCTCTATTTTCATATCCCTGCATATGAAGGGAGTGTCCCATGTATACTTCAGTAAGTGTTTTCATTTCTTGAAAGCCAAATTACTGAAAACTTAGCTACACATTTTCTAGAATTTTTGATATATCATTTTACTTTCAAAATATTTTTATTTATGAATAGGAGCTTGTGGAATAATCATCTTTTATAAATCAAATATTTAAATGTTTTCTAATCTTGGAGAATGATCTCTGGCCTTTTCATGTTAAGCAATTCTCACTCATTTTCATGAGATGGAGTTTCGCTCTTGTTACCCAGGCTGGAGTGCAATGGCGTGATCTCGGCTCACCGCAACCTCCGCCTCCTGGGTTCAGGCAATTCTCCTGCCTCAGCCTCCTGAGTAGCTGGGATTACAGGCACGTGCCACCATGACCAGCTAATTTTTTGTATTTTTAGTAGAGACGGGGTTTCACCATGTTGACCAGGATGGTCTCGATCTCTCGACCTCGTGATCCACCCGCCTCGGCCTCCCAAAGTGCTGGGATTACAGGCTTGAGCCACCGCGCCCGGCTCATTTTCATAAACTTGAAGTAATACTTATTGCTCAAGAAATGAAATGAAAAAGAAAAAAAAAGAAAGAAAAAAATACTTATTGCTCAAATATGTACCCTTTCATAGCTTACAAAACTGTACCTTTTCGCCTGTGTCACCTTTGGGGCCATTCTCTCCAGCATCTCCCTGAGGAAGGGAAAAAGTGACACATGTTAAATACACTGGTGACATTAAGGGAAGAGTATTTTTCATTATTTTAAGCTTTCCTTAATATACTTATACTTGACCAGTTATCTGATATTAAGAAAAAAAATTTTATTCAGTGAACACAGCTGAACAGTATTAAACTATTCCACAGTATTAACTGAAAGCAATTACTTGTCTGTCTTCCAATAGCTTATTGGGACACTTAAAACCTTAATTCTGTCTCTGCTCAAAGCTCCACTCAAAAACAAAGGCTTTCTCTTGACAGTTCCCTGAATATGCCATGAGCCTTACCACTCTGCATCCTTCTTCGCACCATTCCTGTTGGCTGGATCCCTGCCCTCTCTTTCCCTTTCCATCTGTATAAATCCTGCCCTGTCTTCAAGCATATCTCAAATCTCCAGGGCCTCAAAGTACATGACAGGCCCTCAAAACCTGTGGACTGAGTATTTATCTGGGCCTACACGGTTTGCATGCATGGAATGAATGTTTTATGCTTTACTAGAAAAATTTTTTAAAATTATAGTTGATGCTTTTTTGTTGTTATTTTTGAGACTTCCTATGCTATTCCTCCACTGACATCTCCTTTCTACCCACAAATCAATGCATTATGGAAATAAAGCATTCGTTTATTATCCATGCGTTCTTCCTTAAATTCTGAATTCGATTTAGTCTTAAAATATGTTATGTGGAAATGTGATAGACTTTGGAGCCAAGGAGACAGTCCAGTTGCAGCACCTACTGGGCAAATGAAATTCTCTTTGCATCAAGTTTCTCCTGTGTAATATAAGGCCAAGGATAATTTACACAGTTATAAGAAATAAATAGTACACTGTGTCGAAAGCAAATAGGACAGTATCTGGCACATCATAAGCCATTAATGATAACAATGCATTACTATTCACATATTCCATAGGCTGGAATGTAGTCACTTTCCCATTACTCAAAAAGTTTCTCAAAATAGGACAGACACTATTGATAATAACTTTCTTGGGAGAGGGGAGAAAGAAAGTAGGGGAGGGTAACTTTCACTTTTTTCTCTGTATTTTGTTTTATTCTTTCAAATAAGGATGAAGTTAGTTTGCTTGGGTGTATGGTGACAAATACACTGCCACGGCCACAAGAGCCCGGGACGCTTGCTCTGATGAATGCCTGGTATGGTGCTGCTATTGCTCCTTTTCCCGCCTAATTTCTATACAAAAGAGGCATCCAGTGACTAATTAATTTCAAGTTAATTACCATGAACTGATTGGATACTAAATAATGTCCTAGTAATGTGTTACGAGGGACCTTTGATAGGCAGTTGATGTGCAGGCTTTTTATAAAATTGCTCAAAAATCCCTTTATTAAAGAACAAAACAAACAAACAAACCTTCTTAGTAGGGAAACTGGCTCAGAATGGTTGCGAAGTGAAGGGTTTAACTGAGCTGCCGCCTCAGGGAACTGCCCTTTCCACCCACACATTTTGCTCTCCTTCCATTAAATAATTTTTTTCTTTTTCTTTACAATGCTGAAAAATACAGTCCTAATCAAAAATTTTCCTTGATCTTTAGATAAACTTCTTTTGAGATTAGAGGTTATAATTCTGATTTGTCAGAAAGATCATATCACTTATGAAGAGCATGATGTAGTATTTTGGTAGTTTCCTACTCAGCATATTTTTCAAACACTATTAAAATAAGTAGCATGAGAACCAGGAAAGTAAGTATCATAATCCACAATGAGAGCCTAAAAATAATCAGGACAGGCCCAGGTAAGAAAAAGAGTCTAAGAATAATTTAACACTCTGCTTTTCCTGTTTCTCTTTTTGGTTTTTATGGGAATTCTTTGTGGGCAACCTTCAGATAATTGCTGCAGGTAAACATCTGTATCCTCTTAACCCAGTGACATTAGAAGCAGTAGAGAGAGATGTGGGTACTTGCAAAAGAATTAGAATTGTTTAGCAAGTAGGCAGATCAGATTTTGCAGGCCTCAGGATTTTTTAAGCCCATTTAAAAACCAGACATAAAATGTTTAAATTTGTTCCTTTTCTCTTCATTTTAAATATTTGTTCTGAAGGTGTATCAGCAGCTTTCTCTTTATGTTTTAAAACTTTACCCAGATTTTGGCCGGGCGCGGTGGCTCAAGCCTGTAATCCCAGCACTTTGGGAGGTCGAGGTGGGTGGATCACAAGGTCAAGAGATTGAGACCATCCTGGTCAACATGGTGAAACCCCGTCTCTACTAAAAATACAAAAAATTAGCTGGGCATGGTGGCACGTGCCTGTAATCCCAGCTACTCAGGAGGTTGAGGCAGGAGAATTGCCTGAACCCAGGAGGCGGAGGTTGCGGTGAGCCGAGATCGCGCCATTGCACTCCAGCCTGGGTAATGAGAGCGAAACTCCGTCTCAAAAAAAAAAAAAAAAAAAAAAAAAAACTACCCAGATTTTTGTCTGTACATAAGAATCACACAATTTCTTCCTTCTACTAATTAACAGTTTAAAAAAAACATAGGAGTCACTATATCTATATCTATCTATCTATGTATATCTATCTACCTACCCACCTATCTATTAATCTACTCACCCATCCATCCATCTGCACATCCATTCATGCATACAGTTTAGTTTGGGTACTTCTTTGGTGTGCTAGTGCTGGGGAGTAGGAGGAGAGAAATACAGGCAAAAACATTCTTACCTTTTCACCTTGTTCTCCGGGTTCTCCCTGAGCAAAAGGACAGAGATGGAGTGACATCAAAGCATAAAACATCTAATTTTATTATTAAAGAAAGTAGATATTGAACTTACTAGGGAAATTATGCATGACATTTTCTATTTTGGCTACATACAGTTGCTATATGAAAACAAATGACGAGTTTCCTGGAGAATTTGAGAATGAATATAAATTATCAAATGTAGTCTTAATTTTTTGCTTTTACAGCATATAGCACTAAAGAAATGTATTTTAAGACTATCATCCAGAAACTGGCTTTTGGGGCACTAAGGAGAAGGATGGTGTGGCAATTCAATACCTTGAGAGGCTTCTTAGCCTACAATTTTTCATTCTGTTAAAACTCAGAATTAATAAGGTGGACAAGCATGTTTTTATAAAAATCCTTTTATTCAAAGCATCACCTGGTTTATAGATTATTTCAAGGGTCTAGGGTGCCAGGGTAGTTACCCAATCTGTCTTGCCCTAACATGATCATAAGCAGTACTAATCTTGAACCCCTTCATAATGTCATGAGCTCTCTTTGGCTTCTGGTAACCAGCATGTTCCAGATCAGTTACATTTCAGGAAGCACCTTGAGGAAAGACACTAGAATGGGGCAGAACTGAAGTGAGTTTTGGAATGACGTCCTTACTCAAAATGACCTGGAGAGCGTGAGGACTAAAATGCCAAATGGTGCCCTGAAGAGAATCTCATTTTCACTTTGCCCAGGAAAGGACGGAGGTTGGAGCAGCGCGAGTAGGAGAGTTCTAAAGTAAATCATATACATTATGAAATAGTTTCCTATGAAAAACTTGAGTAAGTGTTGCCATGAGATCAGACTAGTTTGAAAAAAAAAATGAAATAAGGTGATTATTGTATTTTTAAAAATGTATAACCCACTGCAGAAGTTAGTTTGGAAGCAAGACTCTTTTCTCTGGAACTCAACCTGACCCTTTGGCTTTCTGTATTTCTGGTCACCTTCACTGCTCAACACCCATCCTGATGGTCACTAGGCAACACAAGAATAGCACTGTGAACATGCATTAAGCATTAACTCCTATTGTTTGGCTTTTTAGCATGGAGAAAGAGACAGAAGACAGGAAAACAGCTATAGTCCCAGAAGGAATATTTTCTTTCCTCTCCTGCAAGACAAAGGACAGGTCTATAAATTTAAGGTCTGTCCTAGGCGCCTGTCAATAGCAAATGATCTGTAAAATCAGCTGACAGGCATCTGTGGGTATGAATACACACCAGCACAGCTGATGGGATTAGACATTAGTTTTGTACTTCAAGGGATGTTCACTCATCAAAGGATTTGGGATTTGGCTGCCTGCTTGGTTCAAACTAAATTGCCGCCAATCTTTTTATATTTAACTGATTCAATTTTTTTTTAAGAAACAAAGAAAACCTGGAATAAAAAAAATCTTCGTTACATTTTTTCCCTTTTTCGTAATTCACACTATGTCCATTTTTAAATTTTAAACATCTTTATTCTGCCTTCATCTGATTAACTGGCTATGTTGTGTAAGAGTTGGAGGTGGCCAAATATTGGGGAAAAGCCAGAGTGAATGTCATCTTTAGTAAGGCATGTAAATAAAATTTTAGGTAATATGGACATGGTCTATGTTTTTATATATCCATTAAGTGGTAAAATGACAACAGTCATATTTGAAACACAGGCCTACTCATGTTAAGTATCTTAGAATAAAGATGTTAGGCAATTACACCCCATTTATTTTTCTGCATTTTAATGCTAATGAGAATCACAAACATAATTAATTCATTAGTAACAAAGTTCTGTACTGCAGCATATTAATTATACTATTCACAAAATACCCATTTAAATACAAAAGGTGAGATTGTTAAAAAATATTATATTAAATAAAAGCTTATGATTTCCCGACAATTCATGTGTCAAATGATTCTGCTTGGCTTTACTTGTACTAACCTTTGGTCCTGCTATTCCACCCTGTCCTGCTGCTCCAGGTAACCCAGGCTCACCCTCAAAATAGAAAAATAGACACGGCTAAGTAAAATAGACAAAATCAATACATTACATGGACCATTCGAGGAAACAGCCATCTAATAATTCTCCAGACATAGATAAAGAATAAGTGACTACTAGTTTAAATTCAAGCTAGCTTCCATGGTCCAAAATGCTGCATGTAATGGAGTAAGGATACAACGGGGTTAATTCCTTTGTTCAGTTTTCTCAACATTAAGAAAACTGAGGCAACTTACCAGTGGAAATTAGTATCTAGCATGTTGCTGGGTACATTGTGAGCCTCAAATAAATATTTTTTGAATGAAAAGACACCTGAAAAATATAAGACTGTCTTGGCCCAAACCATTTTTTTTTTTTCTTTTTTGAGATGGAGTCTCGCACTGTCATCCAGGCTGTAGTGCAGTGGCACCATCTCGGCTCACTGCAATCTCTGCCTCCTTGGTTCAAGCATTTCTCCTGCCTCAGCCTCCCAGGGAGCTGGGATTACAGGCATGTGCCACCACGCCCAGCTAATTTTGTGTGTGTGTATATTTTTAGTAGAGATGGGGTTTCACCATGTTGGTTAGGATGGTCTTGATCTCCTGACCTCGTGATCCGCCTGCCTCGGCTTCCCAAACTGCTGGGATTACAGGTGTGAGCCACCATGCTTGGCCACGGCAAAAAAACTTTTAAGTGATTCATCAGCTCAGAAAAAGAAAGAATAAATCATTTTGTTTTCGCGTTAGACCTAAATGAACATTTACAAACCTAAATATTGAAGAACATACACATCTTTGAACACCTGCTTAATTCATTTAGACACATTTGACACAAAATAAACACTAAAAATAGCTTTGGTTTTTCTTTCCAATTTCATTTTAAAAATAATTAGAATAAAATATTCAGACTTATGGATCTTATTATCATATTAAATGATAGGCTTTTGGGCAAAAGATCATGGCTATTAGGCTAGAAAAATTTCCTATTTCAGAAGGATGATGATGTATACCAGTCTTTCAAGACTCTGAACCAGCAATTGTTTTCCAAAGAGGGAAATCTCCCTGAACTGCCCAGAAACAAAGAAAAGATACTTTGGCCCTGTATGCTTCCATGTGGCTCAAACTTACAGCAATTAGAATTGTTACCATTTTAAAACATTCTGAAAGCTCTTCACTGTGTGCCTCAATTATTGTACAAATTTCTTCTTTCCATTGAGGCTAGTAAAGTTGCTCCTTAGTTGATTTTTAAAAAGTAGACTATATTGTTAGAGCCGTTTTAGGTTCATTGCAAACTTAATTGATTTTTGAGAATGTTTCCTAAGTCACCTGGATGGCAGGAATTCTGTCACTTTTATATTTGTGTTCTTAGCTTCAAAAACATGTATATTAATAAAAATAGTAACATTTCTTGAGTGCCAGGATCTTTATATTCATTGACTCAATTCTCACAAATGTCTTTGAGGTAAGTACTATTTTTATCTCTATTTTACAGGTAAAGAAATTAAGGCATAGAGCAGTTAAGTCATTTGTCCAGATTTGCATAACTATCGTCAGGACTTGAACCTTCATGATCTGGCTTAAGAAGTTATGTTCTTAATACCATGTTACACTGATAAGTGAATGAATGTATCTAGGAATTTGATGACAAATATTTCAGTCCCATTATTTTGTTTATAATCCCACTTATAAATGACTGTCAGAATGTATAGAAATCTGAATTAAATATAACCTACATAGAGGTGATTTTTTAAATATCTACCATATAAATTTGGCAATGTGAAGCCTATGGTGTCATTCTAAAATAGCAAAAAGTATTTTACTATTATAGTAGATTATTAAAATTGCTAGAGTCTTAACGTCTTGGAAAAAAAATCTGCTTCCTATATAAAGTCACACTGTAACTCTAACTCTTGCATTTTTCTTGGTAAAATGGGAAAAAAATGTTGACTTAGAATAATGATGGTCATTGTGTGAAAATTTTGATATGCCATTTGTACATAACAAAGGATAAGAATTTGGAAACAGAATACACCCTGAAAGAGAACTAGCATTTACTGTGCAACCAGAAAAAGAGCTCTGGAGTCTGCTTGCTTCAAAGAATCCACAACAGGAAGCACTAATATCATAACTCATGGTTTAATGCAAATAAGAGATGCCGCCAGGAAACAATGCAAACTTTGTTTAGACTTTCAAAGAATAACCATGGTAGCCAGAGTTATTTTTTTTTAAACACAGTTAAGCCCCTGGAACCGGACAAAATTCATGCTGAGATTTCAAAGCAAGGAAGAGAAATGTTGCTTAGGTATCTGCATAACATTCTCCTTAATATATGAACATTGAGGGACTAAAGCCTAATCTCTTTTTTTCTTTGATAATATATATTGTTAATCTTTAACATAAAAGGCCACAAAAAATTTTACCTGTAATCCCATCACTCTATAATAATTGTTTTCATTTTGTCCTGTCTCCTTCTGGTCTTTGTTATTTACGCTTACATATTTTCAAGCAATTGTAAGCATATTGCATAGCGTGATGTTCTGATTTTTAAAATCTTTATACCACGCATTTGTTTTCACATAGTATTTATGAATACTGCCTTGTGCATAGTTTAATCATCTATCAAAGTCAGGTGTGATCATTTGTTTAATCAGTCCCACATTGTTGAATACTCGTGTTCTTCCAATTTTTACTATTAAAAACTAAAATAAACATCTCTGTAAATATATTTTTCTGTCAAATAATTTAATTTTGATAAATTATCTGAATTTGTTTTGTTAGTCAATGCAAACATTTTATGGCACAGCATATTTCTAAATTGCTTTCTAAAAGGGCTCTGAGTTTTATTTGCTTTTGTAGGCAATTTAAAAAATTTTATAGGCACTGCTTTTATAGGCATCCACTGTGTTACTTTTTCACAACTTTTTACAACAATTGTTTTTCACAACAACATTGAATATCACAATTTTAATTATTTTTGTGGCTATTTTAATAAGCATAAATGAGAGCTAACTATTGTTCAGTTTTAAATTTTTCACATGTAAGATTAATTTCTCATCTGTTCATAATTTAAATAGGTATTCATAAATGTTACAGCTGAAAAATGAATAAAGCTAGAGGAAAAAATGGCTGACAGCATTTTACTTCCATAATAGTTATATCAAGAAACACATACTCCAAGTTAGATTAAGGGATTACAGAGCATTCTGTTATTGTCCACACTTAGTTTCCCAGGTTCTGTGAAAAGAATATAAAAGATGAACCACTGTACAAGTCTGAGTGCCAAAGCCAAGCTATAAGAATCCGTAGGTGCTGATTATTCAACTAACAGTGAAAATTTAATGCATGTTCTACTCTGGACTGAATGTTTCCGGAGACATAAAGATCAAATAGACATGACAGGTGCCTGTACGCAAAGAGCTTATTTTTGAGTGCGGGAAATACATATATACATTAGGGGGCATCTAACTGAGTTCATGAAACATTTTTGGGGGCAAAGTTTTCTTGCACTTCATGAAGTAAGAAGCATAATAGGCTGGGCGCGGTGGCTCAAGCCTGTAATCCCAGCACTTTGGGAGGCCGAGGCGGGTGGATCACGAGGTCGAGAGATCGAGACCATCCTGGTCAACAAGGTGAAACCCCGTCTCTACTAAAAATACAAAAAGTTAGCTGGGCATGGTGGTGCGTGCCTGTAATCCCAGCTACTTAGGAGGCTGAGGCAGGAGAATTGCCTGAGCCCAGGAGGTGGAGGTTACGGTGAGCCGAGATCGCGCCATTGCACTCCATCCTGGGTAACAAGAGCGAAACTCCGTCTCAAAAAAAAAAAAAAAAAGAAGCATAATAAATAGAAATCAAAGAGAAATCTTACTGAGGAATAAAGCATACATCTTATAGTATTAATATATTTCAATAAATCAGGCCAAAAATCATCATCATGAGTACTCTAAATAATGTTATAATGATATTAAACTATTACATAATAGTGAACATGTATATATACAGAAAATTATATCAGGTGCAAATGAAAAAAAACAGGAACCAGGTTGTGTGTGTGTGTATGTGGGTGGGGGAAGCGGGTCTCATGTTTGTTGCATAATCTATCCATCTATTTCTGAACACATTTTATACTTAAAACACTGAGGACATTCCACAGATAAAGTAATAAAGAAAAACGGCAGCTAACATCTTAACCACAGGTAGATTAATGGGGTTTTGTCTACTATACTTTAAATTTTAAGGCTATTCCCAGTATGACCATTCCCAAATGGCCATTTCCATTTTAAGCTGAAAACAAGTTGGACTGACTTTTAAGAAAGATGGCTTGCTGCTTTCATTTTTTTTTTAACCCAACTCTTTTAGAACTCTAATGTAACACATTGCTCAAGGCATTACAATTATTTCAGGTATTGCCATTCAAGGGCAACTTGAATGAATAGTTAAGGATAAAAAGAAGTGTAGTTTTCTTACAAATACTGAGTGCTCAAGGAAAGTAGGTCATCTAGCAGTAATATTGCTCATCATCATTTCAATCACAATAGTCTTCCTTTCTGGAAATTGGAATGAATGCAGTGGACCTATGTGTTATACCTGAAAAATGAGCAGAGTTTAAACCTGTGTTGTTCAATTGGTACCACTAGCCACTGGCAGCTATGGAGCAGTGGAAATGTCGCTAGTCCTAATTGAGGTGGATGTAAATGCAGAATACAATTTTAAAGATTTAGTAGGGAAAAAATGTAAAATATCTCACTAAGAATGTGAATATTATTAATCTTGAAATATTAATTCATATCATTTTCAAATATTTTTAATATTGAGTTTTAAAACTGTATTATTAATACGACTTGTTTCTTTTTACCTTTTTTCAATGTGTCTAACAGAAAATTTAAAATTACATATGCAGCTTGTGTTTGAGGCTTGCATATTTATGTTTCTGCTGAGCATTGGTTTAAACTATAAAATTATTTAATTATTAGAAGGCAATGATGAACCGAAAGCCTTTAAAAGCAAGGAAGGAGGGCCATC